TGATGGTCTGTTCCACAGTCTGCCCCTGGCCTTGTCTTCACTGATGATATGGAGCTTTTCCATCTTCTCTTTCCACAGATGTAGTCTATTATCTGGTTTTGTCTATACACCCCATAAAACATACTGTCATTTTCATTTCTGTTAGTAATTTTATAGTCTCTGATTGGTCAATCCCTGATTTTATAGTCACTGATTGTATTGTTTTACCTACAATATTGTGGTTAGTGGAGGCCTGCTGGCATAGTAGGTTATGTGTTGTGCTGCTTTGGGCTGTTTAATCATGAGATCAGCAGTTTAAATGTACCGACTGCTCCTCAGGAGAAAGATGAGGTTTTCTGATCCTGTAAAGATCTTGTTGCTGTTGTTGCTATGTGCAGTGGAGTCGGTTCTGACTCATAGCGCCCCTGTTCAAGGTTTCTGAGGCTGTAAATCTTTATGGGAACAGAAAGCCTCATCTTTCTCCTGCAGAACACTGGTAGTTTCGAACTGCTGACTCTGAGATTAGCAGCCCGATTCATATATGAATGTGCCATCAAAGGCGTTACCAGAGTTCCTGTGTAAAGATCTAGAGCCTTGTAACTACTATAAAGGGTCACTATAAGTTGAAATTGACACAATGGCACACAACAACAACAACAACAACTACACGGTGGTAAGTAGTATTTGTGACCTTATATCAATAATTTCTTTGAGAATGGAGTAGTAATTGAAGGAAAAGAAGAAAAATTTAAAAAAGGGCTTCTGTTCTGTTATTAATAATGTTGTAAGTAATAATATCATAATGCAAAAAATTTTACAGTTTTGTTAGTATTTATATAATCTGAGAAATATTACATTTAAGCAATTTGCAACTATATTTATGACATATTATTCTATGATTAAAATTGATAACAAACATTACTAAGGCTTCTGTATGGTCTGGGGAGGAGACCCCTGGTGGAGGTCACACCAACCCTACTGACAGCTGTCTACCCAGTATCCAAAGCCAGGATTTGGGGAGTCATCCTTTTTTAAACTTTTTTTTTTTTTTCCTTAAGAAGAGAAAGCCTCATCTTTCTTCCACAGAGCAGCTGGCAGGCCCGAACTGCAGACCTTGTGGCTCACACAGTCCAGTGTTAATCATATGAGCTGCCACCATGCTCCCTATTGATAATAACCATGTGCAAAATAAATAATCTAAAAGAAATAACTTATGTAACATTTACTATTTTTAAACATGTTACAATCAAAACATAAAACACCAAGCAAAACTTGAAGATTTCTTTTTTTCTTGGTATAGTTGTATCCCTGTCTGTACTCATGACCAAGAGACATGTTCAGACATTATTTTTTATTGTGCTTTGAGTGAAAGTTTACAGAGCAAATTGCTTTTCCAGTCACTAATGCCTACACATTTTATTTTGTGACATTGATTGCAATCCCACCATGTAACTTTCCACTTCCTCCCTGTGTTTACCTGTTTTCCTTTGTCCTTCTTTCCTATCTCTTCCTGCCTCTGAACTTTATCCCTGGGGAAATGCTGCCCTTTTGATCTTGTATGGTTGATTGTTTTAAGGAGTGCATACCTGGTGTCATTGTTCACCTTACAGATCTGTCTATTGTTTGGGCTGGAAGTTGAGTTTCCATGGCTCTAGGACCATAGTCTTAGGGTGTCCGCCAGTCTCCATCAGATCAGCAAACCTGGTCCTTTATTATTACTTTGAGCTTTGTTCTACACTTTGCTGGCGTTATCCTCCTCTCGCTGTCTTTAGTTTTCCCACACTTAACCAAGCAATATACCCAGATAATTTTATCGTTAACTGTTTTTCACCTCTATGTCCTCTTCTCTGTTTTGTCTCTCTGCCCTAGTTCAGGCTACAGTATATTTTAGTGTAGAAATATCGTTTTCACGGATCTCTAGCCTTCATTCTTTTTTCCTTTTCAAATTTATCTTCTACATTCCTTGAGTGGCTCCAATAGTTTAGCATTTGACTACTAGCTGACAGACTGGCAGTTCAAACATACCCAGAAGTGCCTTGGAAGTAAATCCTGGTGATCTGCTTCCAAAACGTCAGAACTTTGAAAACTCTGTGAAGCAGTTCTATTCTGCAACACGTGGAATTCCATGAGTCAGAATCAACTTAGTCAGTGACAACTAATAAAAAACAACAACTGTTGAAATAATTTATTTAAATATCCGTCTGATAATGTCTTTTGCCTGCTTATAATTTTCATTAGCTCCTTTGACAGTACTTTCACATATCCTGAGAACTTTCTGAAATATAGATTTTAGGACACCATGACTTAATCATAACCCTTAACAGGCCTACTAGGTGATTTTTGTGTGCAGCCAGATTTGGGAAGAACTGATATATATTTTATAGCCCAAGTTCCTTAGCATGGCTTACAAGGCTCCTATGTTCTGGCTCTTTCTTTGTATCCAAGGTTTCTCTCTCATGCCTCTCCACCCCATCATGCATTGAGCTCTAGGAATTTCAAATAGCTTGCAATCCTCCAATATTGTCCTGTTTCATGCTTTTGTGTTTTTACCCTTTTGTTCACCTGGGTAACTCAAGTCATCTAGGCACTTTTTCCTGACCACCTCTCCTTATCACACTCTATTGTTGCTTTTGGGCCTGTTCTTTTGTTTGTATAGCACTCCATACATTCCTCTATGGAAGCATTTGCCACATTGTGTTGAAATGATCTGTTTAAATTTCTTTCTATCCTACTGGGTCCTGGCACAAGGCTAGGTATTCAATGAATTTTTGTTGAAGTGAACTGAACTCTGAGAGATGAGAGTGGGAAGACATTAGCCTCTGGGAAGATAGAAATCTTTAGAAATTTCTATAACTTTATTGGGGTCTGCTTAGGTCTTAAGAGTTAATTTCAACTTAAGTATGAACTAGACCTAGGTCTCTTGATTTGGATATATGCTGAAGAATTTATAAGCACCACACTGATAAAGGCAATTAACAGCAACAACAACATACTTAAAACTTGTTGACACAAATATTTTCCTTCTTAATCTGATCTCTCATGATTCAAAGAAAGGATAATATACTTAACTTTATGCCAATTGAAATTCTCTGAACTCTCTAGTGCTTTAAAGGGATGATTGTAGGTATTTGCTATTACTGTATGTATCTCTACAGTAATTTGTTGTTATTTGAATTCTTCACTAGTTTTTTAGGGTGTTAATCTTGTGAGAGCAGCCAAGGATGCAACCTTCTTGTGGTCCACCTTGTTTCCTAAACTCATTAGTGAGCCAACTTCACCAAATGTGAAGTCCTCAATCACTCACTTGCTATTCACTCACCTTTGAAAACTCTTGTCACCCAGCGAGCTTGAAGTTCAACAGTTGGGAAAATGGAACCAAGGGGCTGGATGAGGCCAATGCATGCCAGGGTTGACTTCTGCAGGTGAGGGGGAAACATGTATTTATAAAGAGAGACCATATTATTCTCTATTTTGACAAGCGAATCTTCCAGGAAGGGAAAAGAGAAAGTATATCCTGTTGCAAAGACAATGACATCAATATTCTCCTCCATGGTTCCATCTTCAAAGATGGCGGAAGTTTCTGTGAGCTCCTTCACTCTTGATTTCACCTTGATGGCTCCATAGAGCAGACGACTCGGGAGATCATCATTTAGTACTGGTTCTTTCATAAGGTATCTGAGACACAGAGGAGAAAACAGTCAGCATCATTTGCTAAGAACTCTTGAAACCTTTCTACATTATATGGGGTGGCTCTGAAAATCAAGGGGTTTCTTAAGCATCCATAAAACGTGACTAATTAGGCTACCTTAAGCCTTATTATCTAACTTGATTCTTATGTTGCAAGCCATTCCCTTCAAAACACAGAGGTACCTATGTTTCTCTATAGGAACAAAATCAGTAGAATAAGAGAGGGAGATTTATTTCAAGGAAATGGCTCATGTAGTTGTATGTTGTTGTTGTTAATGTGTCATAGAGTCAGCTCCGACTCATTGTGATCCTGTGCACAACAGAAGGAAACACTGCCTGGTCTTGTGCAATTCTCATAATTATTACACTTGAGCCCATTGCTTCTGCCACCGTGCCAATCCATTTCATTCGGAATCTTCTTCCTTTTCACTGACCCTTTACTTTACCAAGCTTGATGTCCTTCTCCAGGAACTGATCCTTCCTGACAACATGTTCAAACTATGAGAGATGAAGTTTCGCCAGTCTGGCCTCTAAGGAGCATTCTGGTTGCACTTTTCCAACACAGATTTATTTGCTCTTCTGGAAGTCTGTAGGACTTTTAATATTCTTCTCCAACACTGTAACTCAAATGCATCAATTCTTCTACAGTCTTCCTTATTCATTATCCAACTTTCACATGCATATGAAGCTATTGAAAATACCATGCTTTGGGTCAGCCACATCTTAGTCTTCAAAATGACATCTTTTTTCTTTAGCACTTTAAAGAGATCTTGTGCAGCAGATTTGTCTTGTGCAATACATTGTTTGATTTCTTGATTGCTGCTTCCATGAATGTTGTTTGTGGATTCAAGCAAAATGAAGTCTTTGACAACTTCAATCTTTTCTCCCTTTGTTGTTGTTAAGTGATTTTGAGTCAGTTCCAACTCACAGTGACTTTGTATAGGGCTTCTGAGGAACATCTGATGGGTTTGAACTGCTGACCTTGCAGTTCAAACTGATCTTGCAGTTCAGTATTTTATCCTATAGTGCCACACCAAGACTTTAATTAACATGATGTTATTTATTGGTCAGTTGTGAGGACTTTTGTTTTCTTTAAATTGAGGTGCAATCCCTATTGAAGACTGTAGTCTTTGATCTTCATCAGTATATTTAGTCATTTGCTTCCAGCAAGCAAGATTATATCATCTGCCTATTGCAGATTGGTATTAAGTCTTTCTCCAATTCTGATGCTCCATTCTTCTTCATATAACTTAACTTCTCAATTATTTGCTTAGAATACAAACTGAATAAGGATGGTAAAAGAATAAAACCCTGGTTCATACATTTCCTGATTTTAAACCATTCAATATCCCCTTGTTCTGTTCTAATGACTGCCTCTTGGTTTATATTCAGGTAGCATAGTGGTTACGAATCGGGCTGTGAACCACAAGGTCAGCAGTGCGAAACTACCAGTGGTCCCGCGGGAGAAAGATGAGTCTATCTACTCTCGTAAAGATTTACAGCTTCGGAAACCCTGTTCTGGGTCGCTATGGGTTGGAACTGACTTGACGGCACTTAACAACGAGAACAATTAAGTGTTCTGGAATACCCATTCTTCATATGTAATCCATAGCTTGTCATGATCCACACAGTTGAAAACTTTTGTATATTCAATGAGGCACAAGCAAACATCGTTCTGGTGTTCTCTGCTTTCAGCCAAGACCCATTTGACATCAGCAGTAATATGCCTAATTTCACATCCACTTCTGAATCTGGTTTAAAATTTTGTCAGTCGATGTACTTTTGTAGTTGTTTTTTAACTTATCTTCAGCAAAATTTTACTTGCATGTGAGATTAATAATGCTGTTTGATAATTTCCACATTCCTCTCTTTATAATGGGCACAAATATGGATCTCTTCCCGTCACTTGGTCAGGTAACTGTCTTCCAAATTTCTTGGCATAGATAAGTGAGTGCCTCCAGTGCATCATCAGTTTGTTGAAAAATTTCCATTTGTATTCTGTCAATTCCTGAAGCCTTGTTTTTCTCCAATACCTTCAGTGCAGCTTGGACTTCTTTTCAAAACCTTTGGTTCTTGGTATATGCTACATCATGTAGTTACTATTGTTTTAAGTGCCATTGAGTCAGTTCCAACTCATAGCAAGCATGTATAGGGTTTTTGAGTAGTGGCTGGTGAGTTTGAACCACTGACCTTGCAATTCAAACCAACCTTGCTGTCCAATACTTATCCTACAGTGCCATACCATGTAGTTCTGGAAGGTAGCAAATTCCAAATCTGTGAGTCAGGCATGAGGCTGGAAGCTTTTCCTGACTCACGTGGTTGCAGGGACTGATGAACCCCCAAATCAGCTTCTGCTTCACGTCCCAACAACTGGAAGTCAGAGGATGACATGTTGGATGCAAGATTGACAGAACCTTCATTTAAACTAGATGCATACCACACCTCCAATGAAACACTCCTTTTAATCTATTGGCTGCTCACGTCAGATCACAAAATAAAGGGTAATTACATAATATCTGTCAATCTACTGAGAATAACAGCCTAGCCAAATTGACAAAAATGTTAACCATCACACATGGCATTGTTGAAAGATGCCCTTTCATCGAATTGTTATTCTGTTTCTTAAAGGGAAGGCGTCTCGTATCAACTACAGAAAAATAGCCATCTAGCACCATTTATATTTGCTTGTGGTGTTGTGGGTTAATGCACTGGACTGCAAAATTGGCTTGGACCACAAGGTTGGCAGTTCAAGCTTACCACCCTGTATAGGATTGCTATGGATCAGAACCGACTTGACAGCACTTAACAAACAACAACATATTTGCTTGTGTTTATAAGATCAATATTGTATAACTTTGAGATCAAGATTTATTTGTCTTTTGGCAAAGAAGCAATGAGTAGGTTCTCAAATGCTGCAAAGGTGTCCATGGGAAAACTACAGTGCACAGAGTTGCCAAAGTATGAATGCTCAGGTGGAGAATTTGGGGGATGTGTTTCCTGTATTTTCAATGTAACTCACCACAATGAAATCACAAAGTAGGAAGGGAGCTCAGAGGTATTCTAAAACAACCTTTCATTCTAAGCAAGAATCCCTATTCCTACTCTGAAGAGTAGTTCACAATATCTTGAAGGTACTTCTCTAGTGTTGGACAGTTCTGGGTAGTGGTGAAATTGTTTTCAGTCACCCTATTTTTGCCTTATGGAACAGTTAATAACATGGTCTAGTTCTTCTTTAATATATATATTTTTGTTTTTGTAAAGCAAAGAACAAATTTTGTATTCAAACTAGGATCATATAATATTAATTCTATGTTGTGATACATATTGTCATGTTAACAGTTTAAAGTTTTACAAAGAGAATCACCTTCAGACAACCTTGTTTATCAATGAAAATACCATAAAAAGTTTAAATAACTCTACTTGTTTTGAGGCTCAAGACCATAATTTTCATGGTTGAACCACTGATTCATCTGCTGTTCCATCATCCATTTCACAACCATTCGTGGCAGGACATTTCGGAGCATGGAGCTAAACCGGGTGTGGAACACCATGTCCCAAGGGTAGCCACCATCAGAGATGCGACTCATGACCCAGGACCCGTGTCTGGTGCTGATAAATACCTGGTAAACAAATAGAGTACAGTTGGAATTAGAGCATTTGTCTCTTTTGGGAGTGATCTACTACTGTATAAGTGATGTACTGCAGTTATTCCAGTAAAATCTGATTTCGAAAAAGTGAAGTACTTTCTTGTTTTCACTGCTCTGTGGCAGTTTTATCAAGAAAATGGGGCATTTAGCTTTTATGATAAAGATCATGGTTTTATAACAGGGAGAGTACAGCCTATGGCAACATCTTGACAACTTCATTAAGACAAGAAAAATCTTCACAAAGATCCTTCTTCCCTTCTCTCACTGGTCCACCTTCCTCCAGTTTCTGGTTCTCTCTCTTTTATTGTAAATTGAATGGAGGTTTACAGACAAGATCATCACTTTTACATTCAATAAACTACTGTTTCATCTCAGTAATTGCCATCCCCTCCATGCAACAGCAGTCATCTCACTTTCTCCTTGTGATTTCTGTTTCTATTCTAACCACCTTCCTATCCCTTCTCAACTTTGTCCTTTTTTACTTTGGTACATGTTGCCCTTTCAGTTTTGAATGACTGACCATTCCATGGTGAGCATACCTTACTAGTCTCCATATATACCTATCTCCTGCTTAGCTGACAATTGGACCACAAGGGTGAGTTCTTTTTCAGACCTGAAGGGTAGACAAGAGCCATACTTTTAGGTTCCTCTAGTTTCTTTCTGACCTGTAAGGCTAGTCTTTTTTTTTTTTTTTTAATATAATTTTGAGTTTTATTCTACATTTTCTCCCACTCTATCTAGGACCTTCTCACGTGATCCCTTTTAGAGAAGTTGGTAGTGGTAGCCAGGTTCCACCTAGCTATTCTGGTCTCAGAATTGTAGAGACTGATGTTCATTCACATGTTCCATTAGTCCATTGGACTAATTGCTTCCAACCATCAATTCTTATTCCCTCTAATTTCTCTGATATAGAAGGCGAACAATTACAATCACTGTTTGTAATGGTTGGAAATGAATGATAGTCTAATAACTATAGAGACATGAATGTGTGGATTTGAATACTGTGGAGGGAGAATTGCGAGGAAAATCAGCCCCTTTCATAATTAAAAGAACTTTATGTATTTTAAAATTTAAAAACTGAAAGACTGTGATTCCCTTTCTTTTTAAATGCACTTCTCAATATCCTTCCACATGGAGTCTTAATCTTTTTTCCCCTCTCTGATTTCTCTGGTTTTGATTATCTACATTCAAACTTTTTTTTCAAATATGTATTTTACCAGGTTTAGTGTTTAAATGTATATTTGAATTGCTTCTCAAATATTTACATATCATTTTCTGAGTTAGTTGATTTTGACTGTTCTTGCTAGACAGCTTAATGAGATGTACTTGCAAGCAAGCCAGTCATGGAGTTTGGAGACAGACTGCCTGAGTTTGAATCCCAGTCCCAGTAGCTGTACTACTTTGGGAGAGTTACTTCACCTTTTGTTTCTTGGTAAAATGAAGATAATAAGAACACTTACCTCATGGGACTATGAGGGTGAATCAAAAATTATCCGCACTATAGCTGTAGAATTTATTTTAACCAATTTTCAAAAGCTACAAATACAACATTTTCCAACATAATCTCCTTGCTTTTCAATACACTTTGTCCATCTGTCAACAAACTTTCATGTTCTCTTACTTGGTAGGCTGAGCTGTGAACCACAGATGCACTGCTGTCTTCGCTCCTTCATCAGAGTCAATTCTTCATCCCTGAAGGGCTGCTTTCAGGGGACCAAACAGGTTAAAGTCCATTGGAGCAAGATCAGAACTATAGGGAACATGCTTTAGCATCTCAAAACAAAGTTTTTGCAGTGTGTCAGCAGGTGGGTAGAGAGGTGCAGTCATGCATTGTCATGCAAGATCACAAGTCCTTGGATAGCAGTCCTCTGCTTTTAATCTGAAGTTTAGGCTTCAGTTCTTCAGTGAGCATCTCATTGTAACGAGCAGCATTGATTGTTGAACTTTTTCCTTGTTGTTGTTGTTGTTAAGTGCCATCGAGTCGGGTCCGACCCATAGCGACCCTGTACAGGGTTTCCGAGGGTGTAAATCTTTACGGGAGTAGAAAGCCTCATCTTTCTCCCGCGGAGCGACTGGTAGTTTCGAACCGCTGAACTTAAGGTTCGCAGCCCGATTCGTAACCACTACGCTACCAGAACTTTTTCCTAATAGTGTTCAAATACTGGCCCTTGAGAAAACTGTAAGCTTCAATTTTCCAGCTGAGGGATAACTTTTGAACTTGTTGGCCAGCAATTGAGGATGTTTCCATTCTATACTCTGTCATTTATTTTCAGGCTCATATGATGAACCCATTTCTCATCACCAGGATGTATTTTTTAAGGAAATTATTACCTTCCTTTGAGCATAGGCTCAAATTTTGTTTACAGATGTCCAAACACTTGTTTATACTCTTCCGTGAGTTGTTTTGGTACCCATCTCACACAAACTTTTTGAAACCCAGGTCTGTTATAGATTATTTTATAGGCATAGCCATGGCTGATTTGCAAATGATCTGCCACACAATCTACTGTCACTCGTCTATTCGACAGAATCATTTCATGTGTACACTCTATGTTGTCATCAGCCTAGACATGGATGTGGATGGGTATTTTAATATAGCTGGAGTGGGGATAATTTTTGACTCACTCTCATACTTTGTAGATTAAATGACTTGATATATGTAAAGTACTTAAAAATTTACCTGCCAAGTCATAAGCATTGCTAAATACAATTATTTTATAAATTTTAGCAAGGGATGGTGCCACCCATCTGTTGTGGCCTCAAATCATTAGAAACATTGTTTTTGTGGTCTGAGTTTGGAAAATATCCCATTTTCTCTCAATGTTGTCCTTCTGTGACTTGCCAATTTAATACCTCTGGTTAGGTATTAAATACTAGACTTAAATTTTCCATTAGTGTCCCTTTACATGCAGATTTCTCTTCTTCTAGGTAAGGCCAATCCACATTTCAAATCGGATGCTCTATTTTATTTATTTTCTTTTTGCTGTGACTTTCCCTGCAGCCAGGAAGTTAACTTGTTTAGCTCCACTATAGTATGATATACTCAAAGAGTTAGATTCAAGAGATTTGGCCCCTCCAACTTCTGGATTCTGTTCTAAGATTTTACAATCAATGCTTCCCTACTTGCTCTTCACACTGAAGTCTCAAAGCTGTGAAAAATGAAAAATGGTTTCTTTTCACACACAAAAAGTGAGAACTCCTTGAATCTAGTAAATCTCTTTCTGTCATTAGTGACCAGCTCTATATCTGGGCTGGCTGTTAGATGACTCTGACAAATCTCAATGTAACCCCTTTATTAACCTAATTTATCACACTTGCTACTGGGCATCTTGGCCAGTAAGATTTGATGTGTAAGAATCAGGACAGGAACATTTGCTGGTTGTAGATCATGACCATGGTCAATCATGAGTGGACAGAAGATATCAAGTGAGGAGGTAGTGACAAAGAGGGATCCTGCCTTCAGGGCCATGGTGACAGGGAATGTTTTGGTGAGAGGAACCTTAGCTTTTTTTTAAAAAAATCTTTGCCTCTGTCTGTCCTTCCAGAAGAGATTTATTTTCTGTCATTCGCAGCCATCTCTGTCATCATCATCCACATTTTATACTATCTGCCTTCTTAGTATCTCAGCTGGTGTCATCCCTAAGTAGATGAAAAGATGACATGGGTTGGGAGACCTCAGAGAGTATCCAAAGAGCTAGCATCTAAGTTAGGAGCCTAATTATTTATGTAATCTTTCTTTTCTTTCTTTTTATGACCCTTGACTATATGTGAATTACCTGCATTTCAAATATAGTTTAAATATGTACTAAATTCCTAAAAGGCAGCCCTCAAATATGAACTCGTTAAGCCCCCTGGGGAGAAACAAGGCCTTTTGTGCTGAAAATCACCAGGTCCAAGCTCCGTATTTTAAAAATGAGGTAACTACAGCTCAGAAGAATGAAATGACTTTCTTTAGATTATATGGTTGGTTAGTGGCAGAGCTAGAGGGTTAACTTTGGCCTTTTGGCTTCCAGGTTCTCTATGATACCACAGCGAGCAACTTACTAATCAATTAAATAGTGGAGTCTCAGTTCTGTGACTGGGATTTTCCAATATGTACCTCCTCTTTGTCTTCCATGGAATTAGGTAAGCAAAGAGCATCGCACCTGAGCAGCCTTCTTACTCAGCTCCACTGCAATATCTGAGGCCGAGTTTCCAATTCCAATCACCAGGATGCGTTTGCCCTCAAATCCCTCTGGGTGCTTGTATTGGCGGCTATGGAAATACTGGCCTTTGAACCTGTCAATACCTTCAAGGAGAAGAAAAAGTCCGTGAAATTCTGAGTAAACAACTTGTCATTTTTGTTGTTAAGTTGGCCCTCGAGTTGGCCCTAACTCATAGCAACCCTGTATAAGGTTTCCAGAGAGCAGCGGGTGAGTTTGAATTGCTGACCTTGTGGTTTGCAGTCCACTGCTAATCCTATAGCACCACACCAGGAATCTGAGTAAACAACGATGTCAAGTTAATTTTAGAGTAAAACTACATTGTGTCGGCTTTTCCTTTCTAGGATCAGTTATTTGTTCTTCCTTTTTCCCTCTCAGAGGAATCAAAATGGCAAGACCAACCAGCAACCTCAAAGTATAAAACACCTAAGAAATGCTAGGTTATGTATATGGTACTGGACCCAAGGAGTTGATTTCAAAGAGTAGCTTGTATTTGTACAAAGACAATGAAATGATCTTTGAATTAAAATCAGTCAGATGCTGTGTTTGGCTATTCATGTTTGCCAACTTTTAAACTTCATAATGATACTTTAATATCATACAGCATACCTTCTTTTAATTATTTATTTAAATACTTTATTATAATTAGGATAATATTTATCATTCTTATTTTGCAAAAGCAAATAATAACTCTATTAAACTAAAAACCTGAGCCATCAAGGTTGAGGCATGGCCCCCGGGTTGCAAGAGGTAATTGTTGTTGTGTGCCATAGAGTCAATTCTGAGTCATAGAGGCCTTTTAGGACAGAGTCGAACTGCCCCATAGACTTTTCGACGCAATAATCTTTATGGGACTAGATTGCCAGTTCTTTTCTCCCATGGGATTGTAGCTTGGATTTGAACGGCTGGTTCAAGGTTAGCAGCCAAGCATGACTAATGCGTTACCAGTAGTATCTGGTGGTTGATGAATCTCTCTGTACCCTAAGTCCTGGTGTGGGATAAAACACTGGACCAAAAGGTCAATTCGAATCACAAGGTCAGTGGTTCAAACTTACCAGCCGCACCTTGTAAACTCTATTTAGGGTCACTCTGAGTCAGAACCTACTTGACAGCACTTAACAACAACAACAACAACAGTTCCAGAAATACTTGACTTTATTGTTTTTCTTTGATAGAATCCTTAGATCAAAGTATGGTTCCTGGGTCTGCAGCATCAGGTCACTGGTAACTTGTGAAGTTCTGTGAGTCAATTCTGACTCATAATAACCCTAAAGGACAGAGTACAACTGTCCCATAGGATTTCCCAGAGTATAACTCTTTATGAGAGCAGATTGCCAGGTCTTTTCTTCTGCAGAGCAGCTGGTGGATTCGAACTGCTGACTTTTAGGTTAACAGTTGAGTGCCTAGTCCTACTGCATTAGAAATGAATCTTTGATGGTGGGGTTGCAACCATTGTAACTTTTAGGTGCTCTGCAGATGATTTCACTCAAGGCCAGGACTGAGCACCACTGGATTGATTGCTTTGCCCCACAGCCTTGGGAAGGATTGTGGGGAAAGGATGAGGCTGGCTGTTCCTCTAAAGATTTACACTTCCCAAAAGCCTGAAGGAGCAGTTCTACTCTGTCTCATAGAGTTGCTATGCTATGAGTCAGAATTGACTGGATAGCAGTGAATTTAGGTTGATTTGGAAGGAAGTGTGCTCTATAGCCAAGGACCTACAGACATCAGGACAGATGGCTGCAGGGTTTCCATGACTGCCTGCCCATTGCTGTTCTCAAGTAGCCCTTGTTTCTAGGAACTCTTCCCACTGACCACTAGGGGAAAGTCTCTAAGGATGCAACAAGTCACAGATGTTTGGCAGGATAGAAAAAGGCCAGTGTAGACACATGATTCAAAAGGCTTCTCCAACAATATGCAAGGGAATGCTCTAAACTTCTGGGAAAGATTTAGCAATTTTGAAGCAAGCCAGATATAGTGTATAATGAATACCCAAAATGGTCAATAGAAACAAAGATAGTGGTGGGACTTTTTCACCTTTCGAGCTCTTAATATTATGCCAAATCACAGTTACTAATCCTGTCTCTCAACCCAAACTGCATATAAAGTACCTGGACACATACTCTAAAATCTGGGAATCCTATAGACCTCACCTGGAAAGGACTGCAGTGGGATGTGAGGTAGGATGTGGTGGCCACTGCAAACCATAACTGCGTCAAAGGTCTCACTTTGCTCCTTGCCGTTGCTCATAGTGACAATCTCCCATTGACCAGAGGCTGAGAAATCTGGGCGTTTTTTCACGCTGAGGACAGTTGTCTTGAACAAACAGAGAATGCATCATTCAGAATTACTCTGGGCATAATATGGCACATGTAGAATATTCTCTAAGTGGGGATGGGTGGAGTCTGATGTCTACCTCCATTCCAGGTTCATTGACTCCATTGGAAGCCACTTAAAGCAAAGAATCCTAAGTATGCCTTTTTCATTTTTTTTTTTTTTGGCAGAGAGCTGGTCTATTTTATAAAAATGAGCACTAAGGCTATTCTGCTTTTTGTGAGATGCCTGACTCAACAGTGGGGACCAATGTGTTAAGGGTGTGAAGAATTGAATAAGGACTTGACTGAGAGAAAGGAAAAGAAAGCAAGATTTGGCAGAGGATACAAAATAAGTATCAACCATTCACATGACCACATGGTCAGTCACTGTTTATGTATGTGGACTGTGTTTGAGAGAAGATACTTCATGTGATGCACTCTGTAGGGTATTTTGCCATCACACGAAGGGTAATTGTTGGCCTAGTTTAAGTATTAAAATAGTACATCATGTTGGCAGTATACTTCACAGTCTTATTTGAATGAAATAATCTACTGGTTCTTAGATTTGTTAATGTAGTTTACTTTTTATAAAAGAGCTATTGATTTTTTAAAATGAATGCATAAACGTATGTCTCCTTTGCTTAAGGAACAATGTCACATTGCAACATTGCTTTTCTCATTCCTAGAGGGATGACAGGCACTTTTCGTTTGAGTATTTATGCTCCTTATGTATGCTTTTTGAATATTCATATATTATTTTAAATGCTGGGTTGGCAATCTTGAAGCTGTCCTAATTAAACTTTTTTTTTTTATGCTTGTGAGAGGGCTAGAAATGGGATGATTTTCAACAGAGTATTTCCGATTTGCAGTTCAGAGTAGTAGATCAACTAAGTAGTATATTAACAGCAAGTAAATCCTTACTGCTTACAATGCAAACTTCTTCAATATCACCCAGGCCCCATCCTATAACTAGTAAATTAGAAGCCACATTTTAACAAGATGTTCAGTTACTTCATGTGCACATTTGTGTCTGAGAAGCACTATTCTAGATTAACTGACAATCACAAGCAACAGAACTTTCTACGCTTCTTGCATTAAGCCTTCATATCTTACAGCTTAGACCAACTCAGAGACCAATAAACAGAAATGAATTTCCTTGACCCTTTTACAACCTCCATAAAATAATTACAGTACTAACAAAATGAACAGAAGAATTACATTAGTCCCTTGCAACTACAATATAATATTTAAGGGATCTATAAAAATATATAAATTACGTATCATAAGAGGACAATATATCTGTTAAATAAATTGATAACCAATGGAGCAGAAACCTATGAAATATGCTGATATAAAGAATCTGGCAGTTATATAAATGAAACCAGATTAGGATGGATAATCTACCAGGAATTGGGGGAAACAACATTAAGTAGAACTGGATATTTTAATGGTACTTGGTGGTCGTGGTAGTGTGCCATCGAGTCGGTTCAGACTAATAGTCACCCTGTATAAAGGAGCTCCGCTAGCATAGCGGTTACTAGTTGGGCTGCTTACCTTAAGATCAGCAGTTCGAAACTACCAGCTGTTCCGCAGGAAAAAGATGAGGCATTCTGCTCTCGTAAAGATATACAGCCTCAGAAACCCTACACGGGATCTCTATGAGTCGCTATGAGTCGGTACTGACTCCCCCGCACACCACCACCACCACCACCACCGGGTTTTCGAGGCTGTAAATGTTTACAGAAGCAGCAAGCCTCATCTTTCTCCTGCAGAACCGCTGATAGTTTCGAACTGCTGACAGTGAGATTAACAGGCCAACTCGTAACCATTATGCTACCAGAGCTCCTTTGTTGTTGTTGTTGTTGTTGTTGTTACCTGCCGTGGAGTCAGTTCCAACTCACAGCGACCCTGCATAGGGTTTCCGAGGCTGTAAATCTTTACGGGAGCAGAAAGTCTCATTTTCTCCCGTGAAACAGCTTCTTACAACTATGTATTTCTACCAAAATAGACTATTGAAAATTAATTAGTGCAAGCATAGTATGTACAAAACTTGAACTACTGAGAAAGTAAGATGTGTTAAAAAATAAACTTTACGTAGTTATTTAATAAGAATTGTAATTTAAATATTATTTTCCTAGCACAGTTACTAGTTCTCCGACTGTATGTTATTGATAAAATTCAGCATGATTAGTGATAAAACTTGTTTTTGAATTGAATACTGTTTTTCCAGAAAACACAGGAAAATACAATTTTACGTGTATTTAAAAATGATCTGACCATCTCTGTTTCAAGATTGCATACAGGAAAAAACAGATAATTAGCAAAAATACTTGTCACAGCCTTCTGAGATGAATGGAAAGCTGCGAGTTTATTCAGCACATTTAGTAAGAAATCCCAGTTTTGTAGCGAAAGTAAGAAAATGAAACAGCAATTTTTCCTTTCAAAGGAAAAAAACGGCTAGGAGTATTGAATGGTAATAGATTTAGTTTAAATACAGTTTTACCATCCACGGCTCATGATCACCAGCACCACCATCAGCAGTGTCATCATTGAAACCTTTTAGTCTTAACAGATGGTTTTCCTCTTATGTTAAAGTATATAATCTGTAATATCAGGTACAATAATAGTACTTTTGGCAGTTTTTAATCATGCTCTTAAGGAGTTCTGGCGGTACCATGGATTGAGTGTTGGGCTAACTGCAAGGTTGGTGGTTCAAATCCACCAGTTGCTCTGAGTAGTTAAGATGAGGCTGTGGCTCTAGTAAAGATTTATAGTAAACCCTATGGAGCACTTCTACTCTGTGCTGTGGGTCACTGTGAGTCAGGATCAACTTGAAGGCAATGGGGTGGGATGGGGAGGTGGGATCTTGCTAATATCTTTCAGAAAAGAATTGGATGGAGATACTTGTTTTTTTCCCACAATTTCTTTCATTATCAGAGCTATCTATTTAAACATGAGTTGTAATGTAGACAAACCCATTCCTCTAAGATACTATACCTGGAACCGAATGTATTTCAGGAGATCAAATTTTTTGGCAACAATTCTGAAGTATTCCAGAAGCTTCGAGTTGTGAAGGAAATTTGGGAAATTTTCAGGCATTGGAAAGTCACTAAAACAGGACATTTCTTTGCTGGTGTTGGTGATGACAGATTGGTAGATACTTGCTCGACCTTCTTCAACATTTTCCTAAAGGATCAAATAAAATAATTGGTGATTATCATGTATTTAAAAATCCATTGATTGGTTCCATCTTTTCTTTCTATGTTTTGTTCCTGGGTGATAGGATCCTCTTTCATTGCTGAAGAATGACTATCATATGTGGATTGTGAGATGCCACATACACATTTATGCCTCATCATCTTGTGTGGGAGGGCCTGCTAGTTTCACCTATTAATGTTGCTCACTCGGCACTATTGGCCATCCATGGAGGGGTGGCAATTCTGTGGGCACATTGCAGGGTTTTTAGCATCCCAGGTCTCTATATCTTTTTTTTTTTTTTTTAATGTTTTATTGTAAATTATGTGATAGTTTACATGGGAAAACATTAGTTTTACAT